TCATCTTGATATCTCTTGTATTTTCAGAGTTATATGTCCCGGGAAAAGTTCAGTGTAAAAATGAAAAATGGGCAATATTAGACAAGAAAGAGTTACTGTTTTTATGCATTGCCCTACTACTTAATGACACCTATTTACATACAAAATTTCTTGGTCCTCTTAAACTGTCAGATTTATGTCCTGGACAAAGTGCAAAAATGAAAAAAGGGCAATATCTCCAAAATTAGGCAAGACAATGTTACGGTTCTTGTGCACTGCACATCTACCCAAGGAGATCTACATTGCATCTACCTACAAAGTTTCATGTTGATATCTCTCATAGTTTTTTAGCTTTATCCCGGACAAAGTTCAAAGTGTAAAAATGAACAGAGGGCAATAACTCCAAAATTAGGCAAGGCAGAGTTAAGGTTATTGTGCATTGCACATGTACCCCATTTTGAGGTCTATCTTAACCTACAAAGTTTCATGTTGATACCTCTTGTTGTTACAGAAGTATATCCCGGACAAGGGATGGACAGACAAACAAAGCGGTGACTGTATGCTCACCCTTCTGGAGCATAAAAAATCACACCACAAGTGCGACCAGTGACCAGATTCTTGCTGGCGACGCCTCGTAATAATAATATATCCAACACATCTATGCATAATAATTTTCAGAATGACAAAATTGTTGACCCAACACGAACATCAGTGAAGTTAAATATCATGAATTTTTATCAAAAACTGTGACCTTCACATTTGAGCTCCAGACCTAGATCTTGGATATGACACAGCTCAAATTTGCTACACATTTGCACAAAATTATTTTCAAATCCGTCCATAAATGACAAAGTTCGGACGGAAGGATGGTAAGAAAATTGAGGGACGCTACAAAATCTATGTACCTCCCCACTTTGAAGGGGGTGTAGAATGGGTCATAAAAACATACTTATAAATTATATGGATGTTTTTCTATGGAAGAAAAATAAAATCAACAACAATATTTGGCTAGAAAATATTCTTTAATTTCCAACCATTTCTGAATGCTTGAAATAAACTGTGCAAATGATTTCTGCAGTGAATAAATAACAAAAATATAAGAAAAATATAAATATATACAACAATCAACCTCATTGATAGTCAAACAACCATATTCTTTTTACTATATAGCACTTTTTTCAACATATTATTAAACAAAAAATAATTCTATACATTGCATTGCCTGTGTAGCACCTTAAAAGAGCGGAAATAAGACATCCAAATTGGGCAAAACTTATGCATGAAAAATTCGAATGTTATATATGTTTTTTCACAAAATCATGAATCAAGTTCCACCTTGCTATTTCAAGCATCGATCTATTAAATATTACAGTAAATGCATTCATCAATATTCCATATACAGAATTCATAACCAAAATTTTTAATTTTACTCTTTCATTGTGATTACATACATATATTATAAAGGTCACTGTCGCCCATATTAATTTACTTCTAAATCTATACTATGTAGGCTCAAAGCTAGCAGCTTACAGCTTGTCTAATGAAGTCTAGTATAAAAGAGAGCAATATCTTTGCTCAGCTGTTAAAAAAGACTGGAAACACTCATTAAATGAAAACGCCCTTCCCAATAAGCACCTCCCACATATTATTAAGACCTTCTTTTGTTAACTAAGCAACTCCCACATATACTCAAAGACCTCCCATTGTTAACTAAGCACCTCCCACATATAATTAAGACCTCTCATTGTTGACTAAGCACCTCCCACATAAAATTAAGACCCTCATTGTTGACATAGCACCTCCCACATATAATTAAGACCTCTCATTGTTGACTAAGCACCTCCCACATATAATTAAGACCCTCATTGTTGACTAAGCACCTCCCACATAAAATTAAGACCTCCATTGTAAACTAAGCACCTTCAATTAATTGTCATTAAATACCAACTAATGATCAAGAACTCCCATTTAAAAGTAGGCAGCTCAAATAATTTACTTAGAACTCCCAATTACCAGCAATCTTTAAATTAAGCACCGCCTACTAATAACTTAGGAACTCCTACTAACATCTAGGCACCTCCCATTAAAATTAAATGATTCAGTATTACCTAATACTTTTATAAATTCATAATCATTTACAAAAATGACACTACCTGTGTCTGAATAACCTAAACTTTAGAAAAAAAAACCAAAAGGTAAAATATTCTTTTGTCTCGACATTTAAAATAAATGTTGAAATTACATAATAAAGAGTCTTGCTTTTGTATTTCTTTTAAAATTAGTAAACATTTTAAAAAGAATTATCTCTTGTATGTAAACAAGAATTGGAAACTCAACTGTTAAAAAAGGGTTATATATTTTAATAGACATGAATAAAAGTGGAATTCTAACTGTATATTAATTGTGAAATGTATAGTACAAGTGTAAGATTTAATTAATGGGAACATAATTGAACCTAAATTCTAAAAAAAGTCAGCTAGTAAATAGCTTACAAATAACCTCTTAAACCCAGGCTAGATACTGACTAAAAGTTATAAAGTAAAAAAAAAAATTATTCCAAAATTAAAGTTTTGCATTTTAGAAGAAAACCAATTTTGTAGTTTATATTTCGCTCACAATAAAAACTTGAATTTAATCATGAACGATATTGTTTGATCATATTTAAGCTTGATTGCGAAATAGGTTTTTTCAACTTATATTATTAATAATCACTTTGAGTCCGCTTCCTGGACCCAACCAGGAATAACTGGTGACATGAAGAAACATGGTCGTGACCCAAGTAGGGCTAAAACCCATGATCCCTGGGTTGAGAGTCAAGACACCTTAACCATTAGGCCACCACTTCGCTTAATGATATGGATGTGAAATATGGGGCTATGGTTTTCCTATGGAGTGAGAAAGGATTTCCAAATACATCAGACAACAAATCTCGTTTATTGAGCATTGTAGAAAACAAACTTTTGATAAATTCACTTAAAGGTGTAAATAATAGAATTCTAAAATTTGATTAAAGTAATATATGGACAAAGAGTGATCACAAAAAACTCCTCTAAGTTACTAACCTATAGGAGTTTTATCCATTCTTTTCAAAAAGAAAGTAAAAGAAATCTAATGCAATTCATTTTGAATATTTCAGATCCACTTGGTTTAAGGGATTATTTAATAAATAGAATAAAATCTTAAAGACTAACAATAACGAAAGGAAAGATAAAAAAAATTGTATTATTAAATGTAAAACTTCCAGACTCATTTAAAAAACAACATTTTTGCAATACTTGATCTAGATTTGACACTTGCAAAAAAAAAATCAACCTCATTTTTTTCCTCTCTAGAATCAAATTAACTTCTAATAGGTAAAAATTTATGATAAAGAAGGCACATGATGCAATCTTGAAACTTGAAATAAAATCTATCTTGCAAAATGTTCTTTAAAAACTTATTATATATTCAATAATTGGCAATTAGCCTTGCAAAATTAGTACTGACCATTTGCAATCAATTAACGATTTATTTTTTAAAAAATATTTAAGATTATATACTGTATATGAAGAGGCAATGCAGCTTAGTGTAGTTAAAAATTTATAAGAACTAAATGTAGATTAACGCTTGTCCCCCCTAAATCTCCAGACAATCAGAATAGTTATACATGTAATTTGTTAACTGATTAGAAATTCATTAATCATTAATAAAAACAGCTGCATTATTTGATAAATACATAAAAACAGCTTAAATTTCAAATTTGTGATAAAAATTGCGTGTGCATTACAGCAAATGTGAAAGAATTAGACATATACTTGATAGTTCTATAGATCCGTGCAATTATTTAAACTCTTTATAATTGATACAAAATTCAAAATCAAATATACTGAAATTTCCTTATTATATTCCCAGAAAAAATATCTAATATTTTAATCTGATCACCTATTATAAATAAAAAGCAATACTGAATCAGCCTTTTTCTATATAATAATATTAATATAGAAATCAATAAAGTTTTTTATAATAGAAACAAACAAAGCATAGTTGCCAGACATTTTTTAAAGGGAAAAAAACGTAGCAGTTATAATCTATCTATTTTTTCACATTATGCAAATTTATCAATACATTAGTATAATTTAGTGATGTTTTATTCTTATATTCATACCATGAATATTAGCTAGAAATATGCAAATTATGTACAACCTGTCCAAATAGGCAATTAAAGGCAGCACTTGCTTCCAAAACAAAACAAAAAAACAACCAATTACATGTAATAGCAATAAATATATATAAATGAATTGTAGAGAGTAATACAAATTGACAAAGAATACACAGAATGGAACAGAGAAAAGATACAAATTCTGTACATTAGACAAAAAATAAAAAACACAAAAAGATTTCTACACAGACAGGGGGAAAAAAACAAACAAAAAAAACAGAATTTTATGAACACAACAAAGTGACAGATAAAAGTAAGCAGTGACAAAAAGTTCAGAGTATAGAAAGATTTACAAAGAAGAATGGAAATCAGTAAGATTTAATATAACATATATAGAAGGGACAAAGAAAACACATGTAAGAATTAACACATAGGAATAAGAAATAAAAGAATAAAAGGAAAGTTAGACTTGACAAATAGGAAAGACTGACAAATTGACAAATAGGAAAGACTGACAAATTGACAAATAGGAAAGACTGACAAATTGACAAATAGGAAAGACTGACAAATTGACAAATAGGAAAGACTGACAAAACTAAGTATCAAACTGCTCGGGTGTTATGTATGTGACAAAGTAAGAATTTAACAGACTGTATATGACAAAGTACTTTAAGAATAAGGCAGTCTTGTATAAAACAGTCCAAATTACATGAATTAGGCAGATTTGTATTTGACAAAGTAAGAATTAGACAGTCTCGTATATGACGAAGTAAGGAATTAGAAAGTCTCGTATGTGACGAAGTAAGGAATTAGAAAGTCTTGTATGTGACAAAGTAAGAATTAGGTAGTCTTGTATGTGACAAAGTAAGGATTTAACAGACTGTATGTGACAAAGTAAGAATTAAACAGAATGTTTGTCACAAAGTAAGAATGAGACAGGCTGTTTGTGACAAAAGAAGTAGCCAATAATCAGTAAAGTCTATACACAATGAAAAAGACAATTGATAAATAAAAAGATTGAACATAATTATACACATAAAAAGCGACAAGTTTTGAAACAGAGCTATCACTCTGGAAACAAACACAAAATAAGAAAAAACGGCACAATGTGAAAAGGATAAATGATGACATACATCAATAAAAAATACACAAAAAAATAAACTTTTTTTTTTCAAGAATTTTACATTTTTTTTTCAGTTTATTTACTAACAGTGAATTTTACTGTTAAATTCAATAGCACTTATAACAATATAAACTTGAAGCACATGTTTTTTTTCAGCAAACAAACAAAAAGATAAACCAATATAAAGAAAACAAAGATAGCAAATATGTAGAAATTCTCCATATCTACAGTATGAAAGACAACAAAACAAATATGAAAGACATTTTTTTTTCAAAGTTGGTTCCCCTCAACCATCAAAATATTGTTAATTCTCTTCAAGATACAATTGGTTCCTAGCAAAATCTAGTAAGTTCCCCTGAAACATTTGCTTCCCCAGAATATTTAATTATTTCCATGGTTCCCCTGAAAATCAAAAAGTTGGTTCCCCTGAAAACCTAGCTGGTTCCCTTGAAGATCAAACTGGCTTCCCTGACATTATAGTAAGATCTGGTTGGTTCCCCCGACAAATTCTAGCTGGGTCGATTCAAGCCAACACAAAAATGACAAATGAATGACATTTGAAACCTTCCTGGTTCCCTGCTTGAAATGAAATAACCATCAGCTGGTTCCTCCACTGTTGGCTACCTCAAGAATATCATAGTTCAAATTTGAGTAAAGGAATTTCCCGCAAAATAATGGCTGTCTACCATTCAATCATCAATATTTGATTTTTTTCTCAATGGAATGTTTCAATCAGTGTGCAAAACAATGGATGTATTTATAGTAACGTCTGGTCAGTCCTTGTAATAGTATAGGATTATCCAACTTGCAATGCAGCTGAAACCTGAAAGTGTGAAAGAAAGTAGGCTATAATATTAAGATTTGATACATTTTTTTCACATATTGAAAATTAGAAAATATATTCCAGGGGACTTGATACATTTTTCACATCATGAAAATGTGAAAGTGGCCTCCAGGAGATGCTTTGATCCTAAGAATAAAACAAAGACATGTAGAACCATAATTCTTTCACATGCATTATTCTTTTCCCAATATTTTATATAGCCAAATACAGGCATTTTCCCTTGCCCATTAAATAACTATATTTTGTGTAACAAGCATCATCCCTTCAGACAGACTGATCTGGTCCTAAACCAGTGACATTATCCTTAACCAGGCCAGGGCTTATTATCATGTCCAGGAGAATGCTCCTTTTCCTTCAATTTGGCGGGAAAAAAAAGATATTTCTGTAAAAGGGGGATGAAAACACTAGATTTTTTTTTAATTTTACGGGAAAGCTGCATTATTTTTAATTAAAATTTTTCCTGGGGGAAGCAGTCCCTTAAACAGCCCTTTCTATAAATATAGGACAAAAAGCTGTCTATCTTCTAGCATTCAAAGAAATAATTACCAAATACCATATTGTTTCCCTCTAATTAGTGCCATCCACCACATTTTGTAGAAAAAAAATCTTACCATATTTATTCAAATATTTTGCAAAATCCAAATATTATAAACCTATATATTATTTATGACACTCCAGTAATGTAGAATCATAATATAAATTTACGATTTTTTTCATTCTAATAAATGCCCCCCTCCCTTTTGAAATAATGCAAGCCCCCCACCAGAGGCTTTAAATAGAAACAATACAGTATGCATAGAGATTTTACCATGGGAGACAAACAAGCCACTTTATGATGTATGGAGTCTATTCAACGTTACTAGGTATAAAATTTTACCTTATAGTAAGGCCAGACTAGCATGTCCCTTGGTGTTACGACTTAGTGGTTTATGATTACGTAGAGCGTCGGGCTCGTGTTTCCAGTACCAACAAGTTCGGCAGAAATATTTGAAGCACTGGAGATCCCGGCAGAAATATGGACCAGGCTGTAGGGTACAAAGAGAGCAGATGCTGTCTTCTAGATATGGATCTATCTGGATCTGAAACATCCACAAGTAAATAATCAATGTATCTGAAATAATGTGTGGGATTGCTGGATCTGAAATAATGCATAGCATTGGTGGATCTGAAATAGTGTGTAGGATTTGTGTATCTGTTATAATGAGTAGGATAAGTGGATCTGAAACAATGGGTTGGATTGGTGAATCTGAATTAGTGTACAGGATTGGTGAATCTGAAATAGTGTATAGGACTGGTGTATCTGAAATAATGTGTAGTATTGCTGTGTCTGCAATAATGTGTAGGACAGGTGAATCTTAAATATGTGTATGATTGGTGAATCTGAAATAGTGTATAGGATTGGTGTATCTGAAATAATGTGTAGTATTGCTGTGTCTGCAATAATGTGTAGGACAGGTGAATCTTAAATATGTGTATGATTGGTGTATCTGAAATAATGATGTGTTGGACTGGTGTATCTGAAATAATGTGTAGTATTGCTGTGTCTGCAATAATGTGAAGGACTGGTGAATCTTAAATATGTGTATGATTGGCGTATCTTAAATAATGATGTGTTGGACTGGTTGATATGAAATCATGTGTAGGACTGGTGGATCTGAAATAATTTGTAGGACTGGTGGATCTGAAATTATCAATAGGATTGGTGGATCTGAAATAATGTGTTGGATTGGTGATTCTGAAATAATTCATAGGCATACCTGCCATAATTTTTGGACAGCTTTCCGGGACACTTTTCATCGCGGCCATTAAATGGATGTGTAGGCAGTTGTGGAAAAGGGGGGGGGGGTGTCAATCGTAAAACGTTATTAATTAGGACGACTTTCTCCTGACTTTTAATGATAAACAGTTAACTTACTAGTTTATAAGTAGTCTTTTTAGGTCGACATAATTATCATTTTATAGTATTTCTTTATTTTTCGTTTATTATTCCCTAAAAGCAAGTAAGTTGTAAGTTATTATTTATTATAAACCCGGTGAATGGGCGCAGCCATGTTGTTCACCCGTTATATCTTAAAGTGGTGATAATTACTACATGTCACGTAATGCAATTCTTCCAGTCATAAAAACAAACACAGCAAGGTGATTTATTTGACACCTTTAATTTTTTATTTGATAGATATATTTACATTGTTTGTAATAATTAGACTTTCGGCAAGTTAGCGATTGATCTAAAAATTAATTATTATTGGGGATTAAGGATAATTGTTAAGGGCCGTAAACAATTAATTAACCCGACCATTAAATGCTGCCGAATTCAACAGAGAATGTTAATTGCCGATGCATGAAGAAAACTATTGGCGAGGGGAATCGACAGTCGATAATTGGGGGGCTGTATATTGTAAACTTGTAAGTGTCAACGTTCCAGTGTATTATGTGTACCAGGTCAGAATATGTTTTAAGATCGAGAGCTGAAATGTGCGAGATTTGATTTAAGAAAATTTATGAAAATTTTGCAAAATATCATGATTTTTTTTCCCGGGATCAAATCGATGCCCGGGACATCTCCGGGACAGACAACCGATTTCCGGGACAATCCCAGGCATCCGGGATGTTATGGCATGTATGTTCATAGGACTGGTTAATCCTAAATATGTGAAGGATTGGTGTATCTGATATAATGTGATATGAAATGATGCGTGTGATTGAATCTGCATCTGAAATATGTGAAGGATTGGTGTATCTGATATAATGTGTAGGATAAGTGGATCTGAAATATGTTGGATTGGTGTATTCGAAATTATTTGTAAGGTTGGTGGATCTGAAATATGTGTAGGACCTGAAATATGTGTATGAATAGTTTATCAGGAAAAGGTGTAACATTGATGGATCTGAAATTTTGTATGATTGTGGATCTTAATTATGTTAAGGATTTGTGTATCTGAAATAATAATGTGAAGGATGTTGCTCTAATTAAAGGATGAGCTTGTTCATCTTCAAACTTGCTATATAAATTAAATAGTATTTTAATAGAAATATCATAATTGTTTATGTTGGACTATAACCAAAACTCTAAAAGTTAAAGACTTACCTTCTTTGTAAACTTTGGAGTTTTAATCTCAACAAAGGCAGCTTGCACAGCTTTCATGTAACTTCTTCTACTGCTGAATGTCACCCTTCCACTACCTATAATATAACAAATATCTCATTGGTGATATTTCACATCAAATAAAGGCTCCAATATAAATAAAGGGTCCAATATCTTCTTGGTGACATTTCACTTTAATTTTCAGATATCTACTTTGTGATATTTTGCTTAAAATCAAAGGTTCAAATATCTTCTTGGTAATATGTCACATGAAATTTCAAATTATCTGCTTGGTGACATTAAACTTTAAAAATAAAGGTTTAATATTCTTCTTGGTGACATTTTACTTAAAATTAAAGGTTCAATAACCTATTTTGTGACATTTTACAATATCTGCATGGTAACAATAGCACTTTAGATTAAAGATTAAAATATCTGCTTGGTGACATTTCACTTAAAATTTCAAAATTCTGATTGGTGACATTTCATATGAAATTTCAAATTATCTATTTGGTTGACATTTCACTTTAAATTACAGGTTAAAATATCTACTTGGTGACATTTCACTTAAAGGTTTGAATATCTGCTTGGTGACATTTCATTTGAAATTTCAAAGATTCTGCTTGGTAACATTTCACTTGAAATCTAGGGTTATTAGAAAATTGTTTCATTATTGTCACATCTGTGACGTCATATGGTTGTCATTTTTATTTTTATGTACATTTTGTGAAATTTCCATAACATTGACAAATGGTCTTTTGCATGCAAGACATTTAGTGGGATAAGGCATTCATTAATTATAACATTTACCTACTTACTAGTTCTAAAACAAACAAAAAGTTAAAGTACATTACCAATAGGGTACTTGTGCTTGTCACAATCTATCCCAGAATACACCACATTCCCAAACAGATCATTCATGATTACAGAGAGCGTTTCCGCGGAGATCATTCCGTGAAGTGCCCCTACAAACACGGTCTTGTTGGCATCCAATCTCTGTGATGGCTGGCGGACAAAGTTTGAGTCACTCAACATCCATGGAATTACTTGAACCTACAAGGACAATACACCTATGACAATAATAATTGTGCTATGGGATAATTTGAACCTATGAGGACAATACACCTAGGAGAATAATGCATGTGCTATGGGATAATTTGAACCTATGAGGACAATACACCTAGGAGAATAATGCATGTGCTATGGGAAAATTTGAAACTATGAGGACAATACACCTAGGAGAATAACGCATGTGCTATGGGATAATTTGAACATATGAGGACAATACACCTAGGAGAATAATGCATGTGCTATGGGATAATTTGAACCTATGAGGACAATACACCTAGGAGAATAATGCATGTGCTATGGGATAATTTGAACCATAATGAGGACACTACTCCTAGGAGAATTATGCATGTGATATGGGATAATTTGAACCTATGAGGACAATACAACTATGAGAATAATATATGTGCTATGGGATAATTTTCATCTATAATAAAATAAGTGCTTTTACAGTGTAGAAAAACTTACTAATTGTCATTTAATGCAAGTCATTATATTTCCTGTATCATTTCTTGTGACACACACACTCTTACATCCAATCACTGTATCAGTTAATGCAAGCTTTTAAAATTCAACTTGTAGCATTTCCTGAGAGAATAGGAAGTAGATGCATTTACCCACAGTGCTTTATCTTACAGACTGAATTTCAGTGAAAATTTAAAACAATGTAAAAGTTGCTCATAAAGAGGAATAATTCAGTGATATATATCCATGTCAGAGTTACTGTCCTTACTCAGTAAACTACATATATTATGACCCTAAAAGACAAGTTAAGAAAATTTACATAATATTCTACGCTTTCAAATAAACCTTTACCTAAATTTTTCTAATTTTATGAAGATAGAAAATAAAGGAATGGTCTTGGACAGCTTTGTCAAAAACGAAATTATGATAAAAAAACAAAACAAAAATAAAACAAAAAAACTGTGTAAAGTTCAAAATGAATACTTTAACTGGTTGTGGAGACAGAACTTATATGCAAAACTTACACCAGGAATCTTTTACAATGTTAACTTTATTAAAGTACAAGAAATTGCATGAAAGAATCCAAATTTCATGGAATGATTCAAACCCAGAGCAATGGGTTTAAAGGCCCATTCTCAATGAAATAAAGCATTTGAGGTTGAAAAATATTAAAAATTTGATGTGGTCATTGTGTCAATTTTTATCGCTGAAGTAAAAGTTTAGGGTATTTTGCAAGTTTGCCAGAAATATTTTGAACAAGAAACTATGATATAACAGGATGGCATTTATTTTGGTAATGACACTGTATTTCTTCGGTAACGTAGATTTCAGATCTAATAATGTAACATATTGGCTGCATATTAACAACAAATGTCTTTAAAATATATCAAAATCTGTAAATTCTCTATCTAGAGGGACTTTCTAACCCAGGAAAATTCAAAGAAGTTGGGTACCTTGCTAATTTTCAGTTAATTTCTTCAAAGTTAAATATTCGTAGAAAGCAAAAATAGTCAATTTTGGAAATGATTACTTTATGTCTTCATTCAAAGGATATATATCATATATAATATATGAGAGGTCGAATGCATACACAAATGTTGTATTAGCAATTTTGTTTCAAAACATTCAACTTTTCACTTTCTTAATATTTGGAAAATTTATTGCTAAGCAGTTCTATATTTATCCCCATATAGGATGTCACGTATGTTTCATTTTATTCAAATGCAAGTAAAGGTTGAGAAAACAATTTAATTTTTTGTAAAATAATGTATATTTATGGATATTATTTTAACATAATTATATATAGAATGAAATACGGTCAGTGAGCTTTTTGCAGAAACGAATTAGTTGTTGCTGAGAACATCAATATCTTGTAAAATATTTTTAACATTTCTGCTGGTACATCAACATATTATTAACATATATTTCCTTTGTAAAAATAATTTGTATCTTCTTACATCTAATACAAGGTAACCGTTACTAACAGGCATGATAATCCCAACTTTATCTTTAATTTTCAAAAATTGTTGAATTGTAAGTTGGAGTAACGTATGTTTCACACTCGCTTATTTATGAACTTAATCACGGAATTGAAACTTACATGTAAAATCGACTTTTTTATTTAGGAATCAAACGTACATCATTCTATTGTCATAAAAATGCGATTTTATGTTTTTATATATGCATGTGTAAGCAATATAAAGTCTGTTTGATAAAAGTAACGCTTGTTTCACTGTGGTTACTTAAACAAGTTAAAACTCGACCAAAGTTTTCAAAATTAACTTACTAATGTCAAATAGAAGTTAATGATGTTGTTATACGTGCTTTCTGACTTCAATTTCCCTTTTGATAAACTTACTTTAAAAAGTTGATAACGTATGTTTCTGTAACGTATGTTTCATTTTTACATTGCAAGTGGGTTAAAAAATGACGCAAGACCGTTTAACCCGCCATAATTTGTGGTTAATATATCAGAGTTACACACATGTTAATTTTCTTTCTTGTTTGGATTCTTCTTTGAATGGATTGGCTCTTAAATAATGGTAACGTATGTTTCTTTTTAAAATGCTGTTGAAAAGATTTGAATAAAAATGAAAATTTCTAAAAATATAATGATTTTTGAGAGGCTGCAAGCTTATTTTTACTTATAATTATATATATGCTGTATTATTAAGCATGCATCGATTCAATTATGTAATTTCGGTTCCACTTATTATTGTTTTAGGTTTGTCACTATTTATTTATATGCATTTGGCGACATTTGATCATCCATTATATCAATGAGATTTTAACAGTCAAATATAATTTTTACCAATAATCAAAGTTCATATACACACAGCAATGACTAATTGCACATGTTTCGTTTATTCTGGAACTTATTTTTCTGAGACACAATTTCAAAGTTGAAAATTCTAGGTGGCGACAGTAACGTATGTTACATTTTAGGGCATTAATGGTACTTGTAAAAGAAAAATAACAGATAGAAATGTAAAACTGAGAGTGTCCCTATTAGACAAAGTGGCAGCCACCTTTCTAACGACATTTTGACCTCAAGAAAAACCTCCGTATAAGAGCTACCCAGTGGAACATCAAATGCTGTGTCTTATTGAGAATGAGCGTAAAGTCAGTGATCTTTAAACCACTCAGCCAATTGTAAGCTGCCTTTTTAATTTAATTGCTGAGACCAACATCCTTTGTGATCTTACTCTAAGGCCATATATTATACCATGGCAATTTACACAAGAATTCTTATAGTAATTTAAAGCAGCATACCTCCAGATTCATGTTAATTTTCATGAAAATTTTGAAAATGTATTTAAAAGTAAAATATTGTGAAATGTGAACAAAAAAAGTAACTTACACATTGCAAACAGAGCTTACTATACACGTAAATTACCAAAAAGAGGTCAAGATATACATAAATAATGCTTACTAAGAAATGCAGTCCAATTACAGTGATTGATACCGCAAAACCAGTCATTAATCACACATAACATGTAAATAATTAATTAAATATTGAATCTCTTTTTTTAAGATCTTTAATATATTTTTCTAAAGATTGATATTCTTGAAATATTTTAGCTCATCTGTAGGTGTGCTGCTAGCTTTAGCACAAACCTCTTTAGATCTCATCCTGCGACTCGAGATGTTGTAGTAGTATTCCCCAGTACTGTAATCATGGGTACATTCTTGCAGTAATGACCGCACTGCCTTCTCGGACTCAAACAATAAGTAAACATATCCTGAAATTAATATACGAGACAATTTTTCCAGAATTGTTCCACACTTGCTAGGCTTTATACTGATTACTAAAGCAATAATTTGCCACATTTGTTCAACTACCAATTATACCTGCTTGAACCATAAGTGACTACCATTTGCCAAAAGTATAGAACCACCCACTGGCCACCATGCACATCTTTTCAGTTTTACCAAGCTCTATACTGCTGATAGCTTAATTTTCATGTTTTGATACTGAAATTCCTTTTATCTTTGAATGTACTTGAATTTAATCTGGACAAAAGCATTTCCACCAAATTCAGCTTATCATCCGGTTGAAAAAAAAAAATCACCATTTGCATTAATGCACATTCTACAGTATCTATGGTAACGTAGGTACTGTAGCCCACATTGAAGTTTACAAAATTCAAATCTGGACAAACGCATTTCTACAAAATTCTGAAGCATTAAAATGAACAGTCTTACCATCTCGGCCTGGCCATTCTATCTTAAAACTTCCAAACTTGTCAAACGCTGCCTGAAGACCAGCTGTGAAAATAAAGAAATCTTGTATTAAAATCATCAACAATTGCATACTGTCAAATGTACAAAAAATAGTATAAGAAGCCATTTATAAACAAATTTATTACTTATAATGTCAAAAAGACCTTTATAAACCCCAAACATACAAACAACAGTCACCAGGGTAGTCATTAAAAGTTTTGCGAAACAGTTTGCTTTAAATTTGAGGCATGTAGTATAAACATTAACAATGCCTGATTTTTACAAATATTTTCAACAATCACATCTTAAATTGGTCAGCCCACCTTTCCGGCTTTTCCCGGATAACCAACAGTGATTACCAGTCTATCCACAATTGACCGATTTCTTAACCCAAGTTTTCCGAAACAGGGGTATGAGACAAATAACCACGAGTTTCATACCATCAATCCCTATATAGATAACAAATAAAATGCTTATCTATTGAGCTATGAGTGGGGAAAAAAAATCAAACCTTCAGTGATATCCCAAGGTACGCCACCTAGAAAGACTTTGCACGAGAACGTTGTTGGGTTCTTGTAATTCTTTGGCGGAATTTTACCACTCCAAGTGCAGCTGGCCTCACACATTGCTACAAACAAGAAGAAAAACAATCATCCACCTTTGAACTTATGTTATAAAAGTTTGTTTGTTTGTTTGTTTCATTTTACGCCTTTTCCCAACAGTATTTCAGTCATATAGGCGGGTAGTTTCCTAACCATCGTTCCTGGAGAGTTACACCAGTACTAGACACCTTTGGCCGTGCTAAACTACCAATGCATCTCCCGGTGATCGAACTCACGCCAGAGAGGGAACTGGATTAGAAGTCATCGACTCTAACACCTCGAGCATGGAGGCGGCAAGTTTCTTAAAAAAATTTTCCCCCAAAATATTTACACAACCAAAAGTTTTTATCATATTTCAATACTAAAGCCTAACAATGTTTTTTACCACAATATTTGAGACTCTCATTACCAGATGTATTATATGTTATCACCTCACCATTACAAGATGTATTATGTGTTATCACCTCACCATTAACCGATGTAATACACGTTATCACCTCACCATTACCGTATGTATTTCATGTTATCACCTCACCATTACCAGATGTATTATATGTTATCACCTCACCATTACCGAATGTATTATGTGTTATCACCTCACCATTACAGGATGTATTATATGTTATCACCTCACCATTACCGAATGTATTATGTGTTATCACCTCACCATTACCGGATGTATTACGTGTTATCACCTCACCATTACCGGATGTATTACGTGTTATCACCTCACCATTACAGGATGTATTATGTGTTATCACCTCACCATTACAGGATGTATTATGTGTTATCACCTCACCATTACCGAATGTATTATGTGTTATCACCTCACCATTACAGGATGTAATATGTGTTATCACCTCACCATTACCGGATATATTACATGTTATCACCTCACCATTACCGGATATATTACGTGTTATCACCACAAATAATGAGACTCACCATTACCTGCTGCACTACGGTGAAGTCTGGCTGCTCTATCAATGGCATAGGGATCTAGATTGGAGATCATATAGGGGCGGAGAATCTGACCTGATATTCGGTTTCCTACAATATATGTACAGTAAATATAAGCAAAGTAATTTCTTAGTCAACAAAGGCATCTTGTTTATAGATTAATGAAAATAATGGTTTTAACAAATATAACTCGGCACAAATAATTATGACTATTTTTTTTTGTTGGGTTTTACATATAAGGCACCAATACATTATAGGTCAAATGGCAACTTTCTAGCTTTATTGATGGAGGCAAACCTCAGATGACCCTTTTTACTCAGTACAAGGGCAATAACTGATTAAGTTCTGAATAAATATACATGCAAAACCCCAGGTGCACAACTACAAATGCTGACCAAATTTCTGTCAAGTTTCATTTATCAAGGTCAAATACTTTAAATACTGAAAAAATAAACTTGTTGAAAAAATTGAAAATTTTTACAAAGTCAAGGGCAGTTACTCTAAAAATACTGAATTAATCCACAAGCACACCACCAGGTACATTATTAAACAACACATATTGACCAACATTCATATTTAGACTAATGACTCAAAGTCAAATACTTTTTGAGCTACCTGTGACACAAGTTATAAATTGCAAATTTTTACTCAGTCAAGGGCAGTAACTCTACAAAAACTAAACTAATCCACACATGAGGTGCACAACTACATACGCGGACCAACATTTCTGTAAAGGTTTTGACTCTAGTACAAATCCATTTTTGGGCTGTGAGCAACAAAGTTAGAAATTGCAAATTTTTACTAAAGTCAAACACTGAGCAAACTCATACCTAAGACCTGCTCTGTCGCTGGCAAAGCAAGGCCATTAGAGAGACTGTTGGCCTGCTGTTGCTGAACTTGTTGCTGCTGGTACTGCATCAGCTGTTGTTGCTGTGCCAACTGTTGTTGTTGTTGCTGCTGATGGTGTTGCTGTATTGCGGCCTGCTGGTGCTGCTGTTGCTGTTGTTGTGCAGTGTACAGTTGCTTTGAGAGATCAGTGATCGGGGATTTGGCTTCACGACTGTTCAGCTTCAATGTGTTCTACTCAAATAAGAAAATATAAATCATGCTTTTTTTTAATGCATGTCTGAAGTCAGATTTGAGTTGGGCAGCTGTATATACACATTTACATGCCAGAACTATGTGATAACAAAGCAAAGAACTCAACACTACAAGTCTTAAAAGAGTAATTATCAATCTCAACTCCCTTAACTTGCTCAATAAATAGTTTTGGTTAAGAACAACAAGAGGGCCATCATTTGCCTTATATAGCTCTTTTAAAGCTCAATCCCAATTTCCAGGATATTTGGACTGAAACAGTATCGCCAAGTTTTTCCATATTGGGAATGTGACCTAGTTTTTGACCCCAGGTGACCCATATTCAAACTTGACCTTGAAACCATCACAACAATCTTTCTGATCAATTTTCAGGATATCTGGATCCAAACAGTAGCCACTAGAATGTTAACAAGGTTTTTCCATATTTAGTGTGTGTGACCTAGTTTTTGACCCGCTGCTGAAGACAACTGCTTTGCAATGCCTTCTCATCCTCCTATGAGATATTACCTACTTGTTTTTTTTTTACAGTTAATGCAAACTTCAATAGGATATTCTAATATTGTAAGGTATTTTTGGAAAGTTTTTTGCTTTTGTATCAGGCAAAGGCAGGTGAATAAAGAAAATGATATCATTTTTGAAGTAGATTTTTTTGTTATGACAAGAACTTGTTAGTAAAACAGAATTGCCCCCAGCTGACAGATTCTTGTCAGAGTAACAATTTTTTCAATAAAGGTTTACCCATTCACTTAGTTATGGACAGAAATTGTAAACACAGTTATATAACTTGACAGAGTCATGGTATTTTGCAATTGTGAACAATATAAGTTGGCAAGTCATTGCTATGACTTGTGGTGAAAGAAAAAGCCCGACCATGGGAGGAGTTTTAAAAATGCTGCATAATTTCAGAACCAAATTTCATGAATAGATGGCCATTTCACAAACAGATTTGCACACAGAACTACCTTTTACAGTTATGCTTACCATCATATCAATAAGAGCGGCTTCCGATCCTTCACTGCTGAATCCACTAGTGTCTGAGTCGTACGGTGAATTACTTCTAGAGGACATCTGTTTATTACCCGATGACATCAGACCAAATATCTGCTCTATAGGGGACAAAGTCTCATTCAATGGGGTTGACGGGGTCATTGGAGTTCCTGTACTTGAATCATAATCACTGCGGAATAAAAAACTTTGAAAATTAGTTAAAGGGTTTGGGCCTGCATCGTCCATGGAGAACAAAATTTTTGAAAATTTATGTAAAGGTATCATTCATATTTTTTAAAAAGAATTCAACAAAAGTCTAGCCAAAGTCAGACTCATGCACTGAGGTTTGGGACACGATATGGTGTTGGCATTTCTAATTTGCCACAGTGCAAATGTAATCAAGTTATTCAAAAAAATTTAAATATCAGAGATGTTAAAATGCTCAGGGTTTTTTTCTTTTAATATATAATTAAGAATGATAAATTAAAGCCAAAGTGGTTTCTCAATTGAAAAACACGTGTTCTGGCAATTATTACAGCTCCAGTGAAAAATTATTTTTCATTTTTTAAAATTCAAAGTACCACTTCCTTTTCATTTTAAAACCTACATCAGAAATAATGTTGCATAAAGCGCTATTTTCTTTGAGTGATAATTATGCATGGCAGATTGTTCTACATCTATTATTACAACATTAAACAACAAAATGTTTGCCCTTTCGACAGAAACAAAATTTACTCATTTCTGAGGCAATTTAAGTGCCTGAAATTAATGTAAATACTTCGGTTTCTACCTGTATCCAGAATTATTTGGAGATCCACGAATAGCTCTTGAAGGTTTCTGCGGTGTTTCAGTAGTCTTGGTGATTGGGCCACACATATTATCCAGTTTGAACTGGTTATTGGACTTGTCCGATATCGGCTTACTGTATGGCTGGGAGTACTGGATACTGTCACAAAGTGGTTTACTGTATGGCTGATTGAGTTGCATGTTTGTGTTATCTGGTTTACTATACTGTTGGGAGAATTGAAGATTCTGGTTATCTGGTTTACTGTATTGTTGAGATATAGGGAACATGTCTGACTTCTGTTGTACATATGCTGAAAAAAAAACTGGATCAGTTAGAATCAAACAAAAGAGTAATATACCTCAGGTGTTCAATTACAACTGCATAAAGCTCAAGAAATTAATAGAAGATGCTTGTCTTAAGTGTCTTAGGTGTGTCTTGTGTTCTTAGATTTAGCACTTTTTAATGAAGCATAAATGTCTTTGATTAAAACTGCCTCAAGTTTGTCTTATGTCCTAGAACTTTGGATACCCTTAGGACTTTCTATAAAAAGCAGCCAACGTATAGTATAAAATGAAAAGCCAGTTTATTTATTTACATACCTTGATAAGGATCTGTCTTGTACTGTGAGGAATAATTCTGATTATGATATTGCTGATTGGTGTTGGGATAAAACAACTGAAAACCTGAAATTGAACAAATAGTTACATCATCCTGGTATTACTCTTTATTTTGAACTAGCTTGGGTAAAATACTATCATCAGGACAAGTTGTTTTGAATTCCAACCATTAGTCTTCAAGTTATGCTCCGGACAAAAAAAAGCAATGGAAAAGTAACAAAGGGCAATAACTCTGTAATTAGTCAAGATGGAGTTATGGTTATTGTGCACTGCACTACCCCTATTGTGTTTGACAATTGTATGAAATTGTTTTGAATTCAAACAAGTAGTTTTCAAGTTATGCCCCAGACAAGGAAAAGTAACAACAGGGCAATAACTCTGTAATAAGTCAAATTAGAGTTATGGTTCTTGTGCACTGCACGTCCTCTCAATGTGCTTAACCATTGTATGTAGTTATATTGAATTCCAACCATTAGTCTTCAAGTTATGATCCGGACAAGGAAAATGCAACAGACGTCTGGACCGACCGACCAACCGCCGGGTGACTCCTATTTACCCCCCCAAACTTTGTTTATGGGTATAATAATTTCTTTTGATCAAATAATTTCTTTTTGATCGCTGAAATTTTCTTTTGATCAAGGAATATCATGAGTAAAATGAAGTAAAACCTGGTTTATTGCAATTTTTACAAATTATTTATAACAGGTTTGTGCTTCTAATCTTTCAAAAGAATGAGAAAAATAATGGTAAAACTTTAAGAAAAATCATGCTTTGTTCAATAGGCTATATTTCAAGCCAAATATCTAAGCTTTACCCTACATGGTTTCAGAGATTTTTTAGAAATTTGATTTTAACATTCTTTTTCTAGATTATTTGACACAAATGCAATTGAGCAAACTCGGTAAAGCTTCATGGCCAAGTTTCATCATATTTGGCCATTTCGTGTCAGAGAAGATGCCATTTTAATGACTTGTGAATGACCGTTAAAGCTCGCACTTTTACTGTGTGACACTAAGCTAAACAAGAGCCATGTCAACATGGCCATCCCCCGCCGAATGTGTTTGCTCATTGGAAGAATGTATATGTAGTAGAGCAGAATAATTCCATTTTAAGAGGTCTTTTGGTAATGAAAACTGATGGCTATAGTGATTACAGATTTGAAACCTATGTGAATACTGATGGCTGAATATAACAAAGGGCAATTACTGAAAAATAATGCAGGGTAGGTTATCATTCTTTTGTGTTGCATCCCTCCTCAGTAAAATCTATCCACCTATGAAGTTTCAAGTTGCTACCTCAAATACTTTTTGAGAAAAAAATTGAATTGAAAAATTAAGTATGAAAAATAACAAAGGGTGATAACTCAAAAATTATAAAAGATAGAGTTATCATTATTGTGCATTGCACACCTCCTGAATTAGATCTATGCACCTATGAAGTTTCATAATGATATCTCAAAGACCTTTTGAGTTATGCTCTGGACAAAAATTAATTTTGAAAAATAAAAAAAGGGTAATAACTCAAAAATTATGCAGAATAGAGTTATCATTCTTGTGCACTGCACTCCTCCTCAATGAGATCCATGCACCTATGAAGTTTCAAGTTGATACCTCAAATACTTTTTGAGATAAACTCTGGACAAAATAGTATGAAAAATAACAAAGGGCAATAACTCAAAAATTGTACAGGGAAGAGTTATCATTCTTGTGCACAGCATTCCTCCTCAATAAAATCTATCCACCTATGACATTTCATGTAGACATCTCAAACACTTTTGAGTTATGCTCCACTCGGGTGAAAAATTAGGTATGAAAAATAACAAAGGGCAATAACTCAAAAATTATGAAAGGTAGAGTTATCATTCTTGTGCATTGCACACCTCCTGAGTGAGATCTATGCACCTATGAAGTTTCATTTTGATATCTCAAAGGCATTTAGAGTTATGCTCTGGACAAAAAAATTCATTTTGAAAAATAACAAAGGGCAATAACTCAAAAATTATGCAGGGTAGAGTTATCATTCTTGTGTGCTGCACTTCTCCTAAATGAGATCCATCCACCTATGAAGTTTCAAGTTGATACCTCAAATACTTTTTGAGATAAGCTCTGGACAAAATAGCATGAAAAAGAACAAAGGGCAATAACTCAAAAATTGTATAGGGAAGAGTTATCATTCTTGCCCACAACATTCCTCCTCAATAAGATCTATCCACCTATGACATTTCATGTTGATATCTCAAACACTTTTTGAGTTATGCTTCACTCGGGTGAAAAATTAAGTAATAAAAAGAACAAAGGGCAACAAGCAAATTCGTTGAATTTATATCCCCCGCCTAGTACTGGTTATTATTAACACAACAACTGAAGACATAAGGCTTTATTTATATATTAATCATGGCATAAACTGTAATATTCTTTGAACTTAAAGCCTTGTACCTTCAAACAAGAAGAAGTTTTCACTATATACATATAAGGTAAATCTATGACCCCCTGGAGTGGGGCCAATTTTGACCCCAGGGCTAAAATTTGAACAATTTTGGTAGAGGACCTATAGGTTATATCATATACCAAATATCAAAGCTCTAGGCCTTGTACTTTCAGACAAGATTTTTTAATTTTGCATTTTTGAAACTCCTTTTCTGGCCCTGTGACCTACTTATGCAACAGACCGGAACCATTTGATCAACTTTTGCAGGGGACCACCCTAGGATCATTCCTATAAAGTTTGGTTGCTGTGCAGTCATTTGTTTCTGAGGAAATGTTGTTTAAAGAAATTGCTGACGACGCACAACGACGGACGGTGGGGGATCACAATAGCTCACCTAGATGTAAAAACATCTTAATCTCCAGACTTTATTGCCATTTTCAAGGCATCAAGAAATGATCTCACAATTTTCAAATATTTTTAAATGTTATTGTAACAAATCATTTTCATTCTTCTTTAATAAAAACTAGAAATGTGTCCATAGGACACGGGTGCCCCCACGGCGCCACTGTTCTGTCAATCATATGACTCTAGGTCAAATATTTTTTGAAAACTAAAAATCTTTTTACTAAGTAAAGGGCAAGAACTTTACAAATACTGAATTTATCCCCAAGCAAACCCAAAGTTGAAAATTGCAAATTTAAACTACTGTAATTCAAGGGCAATAACTCTAACAAAACTGAAAAAAATCCACATGCAAAGTCCCAGGTTCATAGCTTCACAGTGAGGTGAATCATTATTCCTGTAATTTAGTGATGTTGATCATTATTCCTGTAAAGTTTGTCGATTCTAACTAAAGCACTCAAGGATCAAATAACAACATAATGAAACAGGTTTTACTAAGTCAAGGGAAATAACTTTACAAATACTGAGTAAATCCACAAGCAAAACCCCAGGAACAAACTAAATATGCTGAGCAACTTTCCAATAAGGTTTAATGACTCTATGTCAAATCGTTTTTGAGTTACATGCGACACATGTTGAAAATTGCAAACATTTTCTAAGTCAAGGGCAATAACTCTAAAAATACTAAATAAATCCAGACGAAAATACCCAGGTGCACAACTTCACATGCTGATCAACATTCCTGTAAAGTATCATGACTTTAGGTCAAATACTTTTTGAGTTACATGCGACAAAAGTTGAAAATTGCAATTTTAAAGGGACTCCACTGAGGTTTTTTGACATGATAAAACTTGAAATAATTTTTTGAGATTATTACTCCATTTGATGAAGATCTATACTAATAACTTATTTGCAAAATATCAGATCATTTGTTTGCTCCGTTTTTTCCAGAATAATTATTATAATAGTGAAAAATGACCCTAAATTGAAAAGCATTTAAACGCTTTTCACTCAAATCGGACTGAGCATAGCACAAACATATAATTTTCAATGTATGTCTTGTATATTTCTTGGTTATATTGTATTTGTATTTCTGTTTTAAGTGCTAATGTTTATCTATGTGAAAAATTAAAATTTTAGGGTTTTATGCTTAAAAACCTCAGTGGAGTTCCTTTAAAAAGTCAAGGGCAATAACTCTAAAAATAGTAAAAATATCCGGACAAAAATACCCAGGTGCACAACTACACATACTGATCAACATTCCTGTAAAGTTTCATGACTCAAGGTCAAATACTTTTTGAGTTACATGCGACACAAGTTGAAAATTACAAAAATTTTACTAAGTCAAGGGCAATAACTCTAAAAATACTAAAAATATCCAGACGAAAATACCCAAGTGCACAACTTCACATGCTGATCAGCATTCCCATAAAGTTTCGTTGAATTCCAGCCATTAGTTGCAGAGAACTACTCCGGAAACGAAATTTGGACGTTTTACTAAGTCAAGGGCAATAACTCTAAAAATACTAAAAATATCCAGACAAAAATACCTAGGTGCACAACTTCACATGCTGATCAACATTCCCATAAAGTTTCGTTGAATTCCAGCCATTAGTTGCAGAGAACTACTCCGGAAAGGAAATTCGGACGTTTACTAAGTCAAGGGCAATAACTCTAAAAAAACTAAAAATATCCAGACGAAAATACCCAGGTGCACAACTTCACATGCTTATCAACATTCCCAGAAAGTTTCGTTGAATTCCAGCCATTAGTTGCAGAGAACTACTCCGGAAACGAAATTCAGACATTTTACTAAGTCAAGGGCAATAACTCTCAAAATACTAAAAATATCCAGACGAAAATACCTAGGTGCACAGCTTCACATGCTGATCAACATTCCCATAAAGTTTTGTTGAATTCCAGCCATTAGTTGCAGAGAACTACTCCGGAAACGAAATTCGGACGGACGGATGGACGGACAACGCCAAAACTATATCCCCCTCCCGATTCCATCGGCGGGGGATAATAACTCAAAAATTATGAAAGGTAGAGTTTTCATTCTTGTGCACTGCACACCTCCTGAGTGAGATCTATGCACTTATGAAGTTTCATGTTGATATCAGATAGGCTTTTGGAGTTATGCTCTGGACAAAATCAATTTTGAAAAATAACAAAGGGCAATAACTCAAAAATTATGCAGGGTAGAGTTATCATTCTTGTGCACTGCACTCCTCCTC